GGCCGCCAATCAAACTCCATCCAGCTGTACGGACTGAACTGCTGCAGCACACGCGGTCAGCTTGCCCCTTGCACAACAACGAGCCATCTCGTTCGTTAGTCGAAGCCACGATCGCAGTCGCCGCAGGACAAACGTCGGCCGCCTGCTGCCGTGCGCACCTCACGGCGTCTCGGCTGTAGGCAATGCGCTGCTGACTAGGGATGTCACGATCATCGATTATACTCGATCAATCGTTGAACACGTGGCTAAGAACCAAGCGCTTGGTTATCAAAATCCATAATCAATTTCATAAAAAAAAAAAAAAACGAAATAAATGTCAAACTTGGAAAAGTGATGAGAATCAGAGATATCATCGGCTACTATACAAGTTATCCTTTATTAACATACATGTATTATACACACAGTAAGTAAACAGTGCAAAACAAACAGTTAACACTAGTTGACTAGAACCCAAGCACATACGAAGTGAAAGTCCGAACGTTCGCGACGTTCCGTAAGTGAAAGTCCGAACGTTCGCGGCGATTCGTAAGTGAAAGTCCGAACGTTCGCGACGTTCCGTAAGTGAAAGTTCGAACGTTCGCGGCGATCCGTAAGTGAAAGTCCGAACGTTCGCGACGTTCCGTAAGTGAAAGTCCTAAGATTTGCGGCGATCCGTAAGTGAAAGTCCGAACGTTCACGATGACCTCGCGTCGGCGGCGGACGCACCGGCTTTGTCGTCTGCTCGCTCCGGTGCGTTCTCGTTCTCGGGCGCGAAACGGCGTGCCGGTGTAAGTACGCTAGTCTGTGTTTCTGCGACGACGTGGTTGAAATGTTTTGTGTGACGTTCACTGTGCTTGAAAGCCAGCCTGCTATGGGCAACGCCGATTTTCACAGCGATAGAACGCCGTCGAGCTGTAATGCGTTTTGGAATTACGATGAACGTAATTGTTCAATCGTTAAATACGTGTATAAAACGTTGCATTGCATTGCTGCCAGGGTGTTAGCCAGGGGAAAAAATCAGGGAGTCTCACCATCTGAGCGAAGCGAGGATGCTGCGGGCGCGAAGCGCCATAGGTGGGAGGGTGTGGGAGGGGTTTTCCCCCTCCTACGGTGTGGAAATTTGTTAAAACCTTACAGTAAAATGGTGGAAATGTAGTCTGAAATGCCAAAAAGACAGGAATCTGATATGATTTTATATTTTTATAAGCACTGTTGTCAGTTATACAAGGTGTCATTAATGCATCTACTCTACATACTGATGCTTCACCGACGAGCCTCGAGGAAAAACCGACGATTTATATTTCACGCAGGGGTAAAATTGGGCCGCCCTCATGCCGTCTTTATCTCATTCAAGAATAGGCCGTCCAAAAGACGGGTAGACGGGTGTCTGGCTAACACACTGATATAAGCGGTGACAACTACAGTTTATTCTAAACACAGATAAATAACACAGTAAAAACAATGTATAACATACCCTGTCGTTTTACAAACCGCGGCATTTTCACTGAAGTTAATGTGATTCACGACTTAGGTGGCCGTCCCTTGTACGGCCAACGAGCTTTTAACGATGTAACCAATGCACTCTGTGTCCAACTCCGATTGTCCCCGTAAATCTGCATCACTAATGTATTCAAACGCTCTATGTCTCTATGCTTACGTTGAAACGCCGTATTACAGAAGTACGCAGCTTGGGGCCGCCCTCATGCCGTCTTTATCAAATTTCATCCGTCTCATCCAAGAATAGGCCGTCCTTTTTTAGACGGGTGTCTGGCTAACACACTGATTGATAGGTTTTGCGGAAGTTCGCAGCTGTAATTAAGGGTTGCTTTTCGGAAACTGTTCATAGCTCGATTTCCGCCGTCTGAGACGCGTCGCCTCGGAACACCCGGCGAATGCTGAGACGGTCAGCGCGACGCTGTTCATTTTTAGCTCACCTTGACATCGTCAAGCTGAGCTATTGCCATTGGTCGTCGTACATCCGTCCGTCCGTCCGTCAACATTTCGCTTCAGTCAACGATAACTCAGCAACCGTTTGGCCTACATGTTTGAAATTGGGTATAGTTGTTACTGCTATGCTCCCATATTAAACGTCCTATTTTGGAGCACGCCAGTCGACGTACTTTCGAGCCACGGCAATTTTTTGGCAAAAATGGGAATTGCCATTAGTCAGTTCAGGTTCAACGGATTTTGCTTATTTTTGATATGTGAATGAATAAGGGCTAGGGGTTTGATATTTAAAAAAAAATTATGCAAATTAGGTAGGGTTTGGCAATTATATAGCATATTATATAGACACAAACAGTCTGTGGTGTCACACTCGTCTGGTTCTTTTTACAAGATTTCATTGACAATATCTTTAATGCAAAATTGGTATTTCCTCTCCACCCTGCCGATAAAACGTCTATATTAGAGTAAAGATTTACAAAACATGTCGGAACGCAGCATAACCTATTTATTTCAAACGCCATCGCTACAAAGCGGGTATAGCGCCATCTACGGTCACAAATTGTGATTCATTTTGGTTTATAAATTATTATTGCGATATACAGATGGCAATCGTTTCTATAATATACGTCGATGGTTGCTCAATTAAAACTGACTTCTTCTTACTCACTCATTTGTGTCCTTTTTTTGTGGTGAGCTACAGTGTCATTGACACTTTCATTCCTCCATCCGTGTTTGTTGCGCCTTCTTGCAGGCAGTGCAGGAAGCTCGGCAGGCAGGCATGGCTCCTGGCAGCCATGCTTATCACCGAACTGCTCATCGTCGTCAAGTTCGGCTCGGCGACGGTTACGAAGCCGCTGCCACGGCACATGCAGCTGTTCTGGACGTGGGCGCTCCTACTGCTTGTCATCTACACCGTCTGGCGCTTCTTCATCGCCAAGGGCCGCGACGCGACGACGACGACGACGACGCGCGACAAGAGAGCGTGCGCCGGCGGCAACGAGCATCGGAGTGCGTTCGGCGAGTCGATGGGCGACGGGGCGTGTTCGGACGGAGCGGCAGATGGCGCCACTTGCTCAGTCCGCGTGAAGAAGTTGTCTTGAAAGCCTGCGTGCGGGGTGGGACCTTTCGAAGGAAGATGTGCCAGCATCCTGCCATAATCAGAGTGTTGTGGGTGGCGTGTATATGTGTGGCCATCCTGCTTCTAGGAATGCTCCAGCCAGGAGCAGTTAGGTTCTGCGTGGGCAGTACGATCTTTCCGACACTTTGCATCTTCCATGTACGTTTACGTACTCTTGACGTGATCTGTGCCACTGTTATTTTTTTAGAGACTTGCAATCACGTTGCCTTTATATCATGTTAGCCTGATATTTTGCTATTGTCCTTGCCCGCCACGTTCACGTATACGAAGTTGAATTTTATTTATCCATGTTGTTTAATATTTCGTACGTATTTGTTGGTTGGGCTGTTATTCACAAGTACACTTATATAGTTTTTTTTTTTTTAACGAATAAACGTTGTTTTCCTGTTTGCATATTTTCAAGTGTATGGTTGTGATTACATTTTGTAGCTAGTATTTATTTGGCATGTGGATAGAGGTTCATGCTATAGTATGGTCGTGATTTCTTTATTAATCTGCCTTCATACAAAGCAGTGTATAGGAGGACTAGAATGTCTGCACGTGTCTGCATGGACATAATAATCGGGGTAAATATACCGTTTGCTATTCACTTTCCGTGCAAATTGCATTATGAAATTGTAACCACACACGCATTCCACCAATTAGAAAATTATATTAGAGGTCAAGAGTTTGTTGTATTGTGTAGCTGCGATAAGATATCCTATCATGTTTCGACAGAGATTTATTGGTTGTTGAGACACAAAAAGATATCTAATAAATATGACCGCTAATAAATATCGCTATACATTGACACTATATATATGATTGAGGTTCCGTGCTAATCGTACTTATATCCAGCCAACTTGTGAATTATATATATTTTGTGTGATTTCGTGATGCGCTTTATATTTTTTGTGTAGAAAATTATCTACTGATGGGTAAAATCAGAATGAAGTGAAATAAATCCATGACAACTCATAATAATATTATGTTGGACAATAATCGTATACTGTTAGTGTCATGGTTTAAGGGTGTTGTACAACAGTAAAAGGCGTCCATAGGCAGCAGGCCTGAATAAGCATCGAACAGAAATTAATTAAAAATACTCGCACTGTTTCGCCGCATACACAACATACATTTTATTCATGTTAAATAACTACAGATTCATGCTCTATGCTCTGCTAGAAACTTGGCAGCTCTATGACGCGAATTTCTACAACGTAGTCGGATTACATTTCAAATACAAAAATGACCAACCGGTCACCATTGGGTCAACCAACCGGTCGCCACCTGACGGAATGTCACAACCAAAGATCCTAGAGTGCCGGAGGCCCTCCGGCACTCTAGGATCTTTGGTCACAACTACACGACAAGACCAATTTTACTTCTAATGCTTTCTAGACGTCCACGACGCATCTAACTTGCGTGCATAATAAAAATTATTGCACTAGTGCCGAATTTCAGCGAAAAAAACTCAAAAAAAGGCATTTTCTATCTAGACGAAATACAATTTGCGGATACCGTTGCATATTTCGGTGGCGATCATGTATCAACACAAGCACATCTTTTGCATAGCTAAGCAGAATTTAAACGTAGGGCCTACAGCCCTATTTTCTTCTAGAATCAAACTTCCATTTTAAAGGTTAAATGTTTTTTTAATGCGTCGATTAAAGTTACATTCGTTACACCAGTACAGGTACATCTTTCTCCTAATATGACCCTTCATGTGGGTCAGTTATCGAAACCGTCACGCGGGTGGGACACGAACTTTGCTTCACCCCTTCCAGAAATTTATTCATCTTAAGCCCGGCGGACACGTGAGTTATTTTACTCAAGTAAAATGACGCATGAGCCATTTTACTCACGTGTGCGGCGGATTTTCGTTCAGTAATTTGACTCATGCGTCATTTTAATCACGTGTGCGGCGGATTTTTGTTGAGTAATTTGACTCATGCGTCATTTTACTTGAGTAAAATAACTCACGTGTGCGCCGGGCTTTACGGCCGCGTTTAATATATATAATATATGGACGACTGTCTTCTAGAATCTAGAACAGTAATTCTACCGGCCAGCTTATGGCCGCGACGTCTGACCACATCGTTCTGTTTCCGGCGTCCTCGCGTAGTAGATTATGGGTGAGGCTCCATTATGGAGCGTTCCCAACTTTAATGTCATTAATGTCGTGATATAAAAGAGGTATAAGAAATCATTATCATTTTATTCTGACTCGCTCGCTCGCATGCCGTTAGTATTCCGATCATGATCACAAGTCTGTGTTTAGTAGCTACCGCGTTGGCCCACCGTGTGTCACACCAAAAAGGAAAGAACGAGATATTCAAATTAGGGGTAGGTTAGTGGCCGCGACCTCTAATTCATCTAGTTCATCTAATAACCATCGTTCTGTTTCCGGCATCCTCGCGTACTAAATGATGATAATTTTATTCTGACGCGCTCGGTCACATTCCGTTGGTATTCCGATTATGATCACAAGTCTGTGCATGTTTAGTAGCTACCGCGTTGGCCTACCGTACGTCACACCCAAAAGGAAAAAACGAGATTCGAATTCAAATTAGGTGCGCATCTTGTTCTCAGTTTAAAACCACGTACGTGCACACTGCCAAGTGAAATTACCTGAACGACCAAATGTGCGAGGGCAGTTCATATTCAGTTATTACACGTGCAAACTCAATGCACTGAGATGCAAATTAATTAATTAATGTTATTAGTGATTACTGTCGTTGGTCGTTGTCGTATCAGGTACTACATAATTATATGTACCCGAGGTAATATACAAAGTGTACCAGACTTGTACTACAGAAGTGTACCCTAACCCCAACCCTAACCCCAACCCTTACCCTAACCCTAAACATACCTCATATAAAAATATAAACATAATACTAAACAACCTAAAACTACCTCGGGTACATATATGTAGTACCTGATACGACAACGAGCGACCCTTCGTGCCATAGTTACGGATCGCGATCAGCGCATATTCACGCTCATTTCAGGTAGGCCCCCTAAGCTTAAAAGCTCGTAGTCACGAGCATTCGACTCACGGGAGAATTTGTTTAAGAATTATACTGCTTAACGCGTAGCGATAGCATGCGTACGAAGCAAACGACATCATAAATAGTTTCGCTTTAATCTCGTCTGCGGCATCGCCTACGCGTATAACTAACTCTTCCGCAAAGCACGGTGATGACGAAATGGCTACACTCGTATAACTATATATATATATATATATATATATATATATGCTCGTGACAAACCATAACTGGTGCTAATGCCAATTAAGTTCCGATGGAACGCCAAGAACATCTCTATATTCGAGATAGTTCGAGGTTGCATGTATTTGTCACGCTTCGTTGGCGACAGCGACCTCTGATCGGCCGTTACACCACGAGCGTTGCAATTTCGTGCCAAAACTCGCCCGAAGCAAACACGGTGTGTTTTTGGAACAACAAGTAGCGCCCTAGCCATCAAATGCTCATTACAAAGTAGCAGTATTGCTAAATGCTTACATTTACGACAAAACTACTATTTGTCCCGGGTCAATTAACCAAAATCATCGTACTTACCATACAGGGTGCCACTTGCGAGAAAAATACACACGTGTGCGGTGACCTTCTATAATTAGGGCCCGGCAACAATAACAGCGTGTTCGCATTTTTGTCACTGCCGCATTTTAGTTTACCGAACTATTCCTGACTAGGCCTAACTACAGAGATGCGTTTATTCTCGTATAGAACCACTCAGCGCTTAAGGCTTACTGACTTAATTACTATATTATCCGCAATAGTTATCATGCCTAGAAATAATCACGCGTTTGTTCACCTTATTCCACTCGAATTCTTCTTGTAACTAACTTTTGCTCAACCTATTGTACAAATTGTTCCTTCTAATAACTAATTCTGCCGTGTCATCGTCTAAAATCCATCCAGATCCATGTGCTTATCACACAATTAGATCTAGCACACGTCCCGGGTCATCTGCTTGTCTAATTAATATCGTCTTATCTATCGCAAGGATATACACCTATAGCCGGCTTGTAACAGTTCTTGACCTTCCTTGACCCAGAACCTTGATTTTCTACCTGAAGTCAGCTCCTGATGAACTGATGATAACCATGTCCTGGGAACGACGCCGTATTACGTGCGGGTAATATTCATTTATGACCCTGACAACGAAAATCGTGCAACGACGATCACGTCTCCAACATACAGGAAGATCAAAATCACAATGACGTTTTTACGCACGCGAATGCTTTATGAGCATCGCACGCCCGCGCACCTGCGAACTGCGATCCAAATATGCGGCAACCCCCCGCTGCTGCGCAGGCGCGCACGCACAGGTCATGATCAGTGAGAGAAAGACCACGATGCTCTCCGCGCTCGTGGAGAGACCGACATGGCCTCTTTTTTCTTGACAGTAACCTACATAGGGGTGAACAAAGTTGCGCCGATGCGGAACGCTATATGTCGCGATTACGAGAGAAGATCTCTGCCCCCTGTATAGTATAGGTCTGACCGCGCAGGTCTCAATAGTGCATATATAAGTTGGCGTCTTCTGCGACGAGAAACGTTAACGTGAGTGAGTGACGTGAGTGACTGCATCGGTTAACGTGAGTGAGTGCGGGACGCAGTAGTGGGATGATAATACAGGTGTTGTTGGAGTAAGAAAACAATCAGCCCTATTAGGAGACCCAAGAAGAATTGGAGCGAGCAGGTACGATCTTATATGCTGCTATTCGCGCACGCTTGCTCATTACACCGTGGTTCTACACGACTGTTATATTTATGCGTTATCTATGTGTAGATAATAACACTTGTTATTATCTACATTGTGTTATTATCTATTCTTGGCGTTATCTATGTGTACTACCAGTATTGTGGTAGCTTTATTATACACTACATGTAGTCAAGAGCTAATAAATACCTAGGTATAATTAGAGGTATAATAAATAGAGGCATTTATTAGCTCTTGATGTAGTATATAATAAGGAGATGATAGCCGCACATGAATTGACAAACATACAGGCGCACGGACGGACGGACGGGTGGACGGGCACACAAGCGCGCGCACACACACAGTCAGACGTACAGACAGGCAGACGGACGAACAGACGGTCGGTCGGTCAGACGGACGGACCGACCGACAAACAAACGGCCAGACAGACAGACAGACAGACAGACAGACAGACAGACAGACAAACAGCCAGACAGACAGACAGACAGACAGACGGGCAGACGGTCGGTCGGTCGGGCGGACGAACGGACAGACAGGCAGACAGCCAGGCGTAAATTAACATCGAATACACAAATTATACGTAGCGGTAAATATGCGAAAAGCGCACGTAAGTGCAACGAAAGAAAGTATATGTGCTGTGTGTTCTTGCCCTGCCCTGCTTTAATTTCGTTCCCTGTTATTTGTACAGATGCTCGTTTCCAGCCAGTCTAGTGTGAACAGCGAGTGAATAACGAGTTCACAAAATAGTGGCGAAATATGGTCGAGCGTAAAAAAAACTACGTCACCACATTAGTACTGCTTACGCTCATGGAGACACTGTAGTTTAGAACAACTTCACGTTCTATTTCACTAGAGTAAAACATTTTCACGGTGTTAGTAAAGGCGGCTTTTGCCTCGCGGGCGACACACACACGCACACACGCACGCACACACACACACACACAGTGTGTGTGTGTGTGTGTGCGTGCGTGCATGCGAGTGCGTGTGTGGGCGTGTGCGTGCGTGCGTGTTGAGAAAGCTGGTCGCAGCAGCTGTTGCCTTGTTAGTATAATGTAGTAACAAGCTTACATGTGTTGTAAGTTAGTATAAAGTATTAGTGCATCACATGATAAATCGTTGAAATTTCATTGGATAACGTCGCAGGTACTATGAAACAATGGTGCCCGCCTGTGCGGGCACTATTGCTTGCGCAATGCAGTTATTTCCCCTACCTGTAGCAGTTTTCCTGAGTCATCGCCAGGTGGCGACACCAGCGTTGTTATCAGTCAGACGACAACAACATGGAGCGCTCCAGATTTTCCACCACCGACTCTAGTGAATTTGTAAAACAGTATTCCAAAGGATACTCGGACAATACTTTTATTCCAATGTTTATTCCAGTTGCAACGTTTGTGTTTTAATACAAATTGAAATTGTTCGTTTAAGAAACTTTGTCTTATTCACTTCATATTTGCCGAGTAGATTGCAAAGTCATGTGGTGCACTAAAAACATTATTGCCTGTTGTTGGTGCACTATGAGAGCATAGTGCACCAACAACAGGCAATAATATATAAATAGTAAAATATAAAGTATAGTATTAGTAAATTAGTAGTAAAATAGTCGTGAGTAGCCATTACAAGTTGAGAAGCACAGTCGGAAGAATAATGCATTCATGTGAGCATGCATGCGTGAGCGTGTGGGTGGGCGAGTAGGCTTGAGTGTTTGTGTATGTGTGCTTTTGTGTCGATGGTGTGTGGTTATAACTCACCTATCCAACTCATGTGAATTACAGGTGGCTCTATAGCCAATCGTTGTTGCATCAGGACATTCCATATGAGGTTCTAGGCAACAAGGTGCCGGCAAAGTCAACAATTCGGCGAGCACGCATGGAAAACTCGCAAAAAGCAGCTGTCTAGCTTGAGCAATCTAGCAAGAATATGCAAGAAGCTGTGATTACCTCGCTCGGACAGATCAGGTGATTGCGGCTGTATACTCAGCACTGTGACCTTTGTCCTTTGACCTTTGCAGATCTTGCTCGCGGAGTTGAACACGTTCTACCTGAAGTTTGTGCTGTGGATTCCGCCGCCGCACTACCTGAACGTGCTGCGTCTGGCCATACTGCTGACTACCGGGGCTGTTGCCCTGCGCGAGACGTTCCAGTATCTCGACGATCCGTAAGTGAAAGTCCGAACGTTTGCGGCAATTCGTAAGTGAAAGTCCGAACGTTCGCGGCGATTCGTAAGTGAAAGTCCGAACGTTCGCGGGCGCGATCTGTAAGATGAAAGTCTGAACGTTTGCGGCGTTCCGTAAGTGGAAAGTCCGCAACGTTTGCGCGATCCGTAAGTTGAAAGTCCGAACGTTTGCGGCGATCCGTAAAGTGAAAGTCGAACGTTTGGCGGATCGTAAAGTGAAAGTCCGGAAACGTTCGCGCGTCCGTAAAGTGAAAGTCCGACCGTTTGCGGCGATCGTAAGTGAAAGTCCGAACGTTTGCGGCGATTCCGGTAAGTGAAAGATCGAAAGTTTGGCGGCGATCCGTAAGTGAAAGTCCGAACGTTTGCGCGATCACGTAAGTGAAAGCTCCGAACGTTTGCGGGCGATCGTAAGTGAACAGTCCGAACGTTCGCGACGATCCGTAAGTGAATAGTCGGCGAAAGTTTGGCGGCGATCGTCAGTGAAAGTTCCGAAGCGTTTGCGCGATCGTAAGTGAAAGTCGAACGTTGCGGCGATCCCGTACTGAAAGTCCGAGCGTTTCGCGGGCGATCCGTAAGTGAAAGGTCCGAAGCGTTTGCGGCGATCCGTAAGTGAAAAAGTGCCGAACGTTTGGCGCGTCCGTAAGTGAAGAGTCCGAACGTTTGCGGCGCTCATCCCAGACGTAAGTGAAACGTCGAACTTTGCGGCGATCCGTAAGTGAAAGTCCGAACGTTCGCGGGCGATCGCGTAAGTGAAATCCGAACGTTTCGCGGCGTTCGTAAGTGAAAGTCTAAGGATTTGCGGGATTACGTAAGTGAAAGTCTCGAAAGTTCACGTCGTGCTGTAAGTGACAGTTAACGTTTGCGACGATTTGTAAGTGAAAGTTGAACTTCGCGCGCTCTGTAGTGAAAGTCCGAACGTTTGCGCGTCCGTAAGTGAAAGTCCGAACGTTCGGCGAGCGATCCGAAGTGAAGTCCGAACGTTTGCGCTTTTATCCGTAAGTGAAAGTCGAACGTTTGCGGCGATCGCGTAAGTGAAAGTCGCTTAACGTTCGCGAGCGATCCGTAAGTGAAAGTCGCGAACGTTTGCGGCGATCCGTATGAAAGTCGCGAACGTTCGCGCGCATTCGTCAGTGAAGTCCGCCGAACGTTTGCGGCAATCCGTAAGTGAAAGTCTAAGTTTCAGACGTTCGTAAGTGAAAGTCCGAACGTTCGCGCGATCCGTAAAGTGAAAGTCGCGAACGTTCGCGACGTTCGTAAGTGAAGTTGGGGGGGGGGAAAAAAAAACAAGACGTTCGGCGGCGATCCGTATAGTGAAAGTCCAAAACGTTCGGGCGACGTTTCTGTAAGTCAAGTCAACGTTCGGGCGGCGAATCCGTAAGTGATAAGTCGAACGTTCGCCGCGATCCGTAAGTGAAGGTCGAACGTTCGGCGACGTTCGTAATGAAAGTCCGAGTTTGCGCGATGCCGTACGTGAAAAGTCCGAAGTTTGGCGCGATCGTAAGTGAACGTCCGAACGTCTTTGCGCGATCGCAGTAAGTGAAAGTTTCAGAACGTCCGCGGCGTTCCGTAAGTGAAACTCCTAACGTTCGGCGGCGTCGCGTAAGTGAATAGTCGAACGTCCAGGCGTTCCCCGTAGTTGAAAGTTCGAACGTTCGCGGCGATCCGTAAGTGAAAGTCCGAACGTTCGCGACGTTCCGTAAGTGAAAGTCTAAGATTTGCGGCGATCGCGTCAAGTGAAAGTCCGAACGTTTTGCGGCGATCGCGTAAGTGAAAGTCCGAACGTTCAACGATGACTCTCGCGTCGGCGCGGACGCACCGCTTTTGCGTCTGCTCGCTGCCGGTGCGTTCTCGTTCGCTCGGCGGGCGAAACGGCGGGGGTGCCCCGGTGTACAGTACGCTTAGTCCTGTGTTTCTGCGGGAGCGACGTGTTGAAAATGTTTTGTGTGAAGCGTTCACCTGATGCTTGAAAGGCCAGCGCTGCTATGGGCACGCGATTTTCACAGGCGATAGAAGCGCGTCGAGCTGTCATGCGTTTGGAATTACCGATGAACGTAATTGTTCATCGTTAAATACGTGTATACAAACGTTGGGCATTGCATTGCTGCCAGGGTGTTAGTCCAGGAAAAAATTCAGGGAGTCTCACGCATCTGGCGAAGCGAGGATGGCTGCGGGCGCGAGCGGGCATAGTGGGAGGGTGTGGGAGGGTTTTCCCTCCTAGCGGTGTGACAATTTGTTAAAACCTTACCGTATAATGGTGGTAAATTGTAGTTGAAATGCCAAAAAAGACAGGAATCCTGATATGATTTTATATTTTTATACGCACTGTTGCTCGTTATACAAGGTGTTATTACTGCTCTACTCTAGCTACTGATGCTTCACCGATGAGGGCCAGCGAGGAAAACAGAAACGATTTAATTTTCACGCAGGGGTAAAATTGGGCGCCTCATGCCATCTTTATTCATCGCAAGAATAGGCCGTCAAAAGGACGGGTAGACGGTGTCTGGGCCTAACACACTGAGTATAAAGCGTGACACTAGAGTTTATTCTAACACAGATAACATAACACAGTAAAAACAATGTCATAACATACCGTGTCGTTTGAAAAAACCGGCGGCTATTTTCACTGAAGTTATATGTGATTCAGCGACTTAGTGGCGCGTCCTGCTTGTACGGCCAAGCGAGCTTTAATGATGTACCAATGCACTCTGTGTCCAACTCGGCGATGTCGCGGCGTAAATCTGGCATCACTAAGTAGTCAAACGCTCTAGTATCTATGCTTACGTTGAAACGCCCGTATTCAGAAGTAC